ATTTTGCTGGGACAGGACAAAGTCATAGAACTTGAATTCACAAGTCAGAGGTTACAAGAACCAGAAGGCAACAGATGGGGCCAAGAGAAGTCAGCCATTCATGCATCACATTTACCCGTCTTGTAGGCACTGCAGGACTCCTACAGTCTTTCTAAGATACCATCAATCCTCTCTTCAATCCCAGAGTCACTGTGTTTGCAGCCCTTTCAAGAACAAGCCCACAGCAAGTGTTGGTATGGACAGGAGGCTGTGGAAAGCTGTTACTGGAAATATCAGGCAGTCTCCTCTAAGTAGATACATACAGAGGATGTCATAGGAGGAACATTGGATATAACTCTGAGAAAGGTGACATGGATAAAATGAATGTGCCAAGTACCCTGAAAACTGCTCTCTGATTTCAAGACTTAGAGTTTCCTGAGTCTACATTTGGGGACCCCATCTCAGTCATGTTATTTTTATCTACATCTGCCTCCCTGTAACAGCTCCCTGAGCTGTTTCATTGAAATGCACTGCAAACCTGGCTCCTCTGAAGAACTTATACCCCTACCCTCTCCATCTCCCTCCTGCATTATTCTCATGGCCAGCTCTTATGGAGAGTAGGAGTTCACAGTTCTTTACATACTCAAAAAGTTTAATGGGGACACTATGGTTCCAGTGTCTGGGACTAGCTAGGCTCTCAAAGCCTATATATTATAAGTCTGTAGATAGATGCTTCAGAATCATGAGGAAAGCAGGCAGGATACAATCAAGAATCCTGGAAAAGCTCCCAACTAGCCCAGCGTGAGTTTCTGCAGGGTGTGCAGGCATCAGTATCAGACAGTCTGTAGTTTGATCTGAGGATTTGTCTTGCTTCTATTGTTCCAGTCCCCAGAAGTCTTGGGTACCTATACCCTGGCACTGAAGATGGTCCTCCTTGGTGGTTTTGTTTCTTCTACAAAGGCATAGCCATGGTTGCTCTTGCTTCCTCCAAACAGCAAGGTCTTTTGCCCTTTCATTGTAGCTCCTCCAGTACACTTGTCTTAGTTTGGGTTTTATTGCTGTGAAGAAACACCATGACCACGTTAACTGTTATAAAGGACAACATTTAATTTGGGCTGGCTTACAGTTTCAGAAGTTTAGTCCATTATTTTTCATGGTGGAAAATATGGTGGCAAGCTGGCGGACAGGATGCTGGAAATGGAGCTGAGAGTTCTCCATCTTGATTTGCAGGTAGCAAGGAGAGATTGTGTGCCACAATGGACATAGGTTGAGCATAGGAAACCTCTAAGACTGCTCTTACAGTGACACACTTCCTCCAACAAGGCTACCTCTCCTAATAGCGTCACCATCAATGGGCCAAGCACTCAAACACATGAGTCTATGGGGACCATTCATATTCAAATCACCACAGCACTCTTGTCCCATTTGTGGTCCCAGCCCTTCATGGCAGACGTTATCTCTACTCTAAACTATTATGTGACCAGGGAATTCATGAGCTATGGGGCTGAGAGATTCCCCATTGCTTCAATCTCTGGCCCAAGAAACCAGCTCCTTCATTTTCTGTATATCTTGATGTTTTTTTTTTTCAAGACTGGACTCTGGAATCACACCTAATGGAAATCTCTCTGCCATTTATTGACCATCATTCAAAGGGTGATTATTGATGATTTCCCAAGAGAAAATGCCCCTTGGTGCATTTCTGTGAGTATGAGGTGTTTGTGAAATTTTCATTTACATATATACTCAGTTGACAGGAGGAAACCATATAGCTCCTCTGCAACTCACCCTCAACCACTTGAATGCTAATGGACGTGCCCAGACATGATTGTCATTTCTTAAAAATAAGAAACAACTATGGAACAGAAATCAATGAATCATTTTCAATGTCATTCATTAGTGACATTTAATTAACAGGTATAATAGGTGGAGATATTTTTAGTTGTTGGCAACTCTATTACCTCATTCAGGACATTTAGGAGTTTGTTGCAGAAGTTTCTATGCCTCATATTTATATATTAAAGACTGTAGTGGTTTGAATAAGCTTGACCAATGGGAAGTGTTACCATTAGGAGTTGTGGACTTCTTAGAGTACGTGTGGCCTTGTTGAAGGAAGCTTGGACATGTTTTGAGGTCCTATGCTTTGAGCCCTATTCTGAAAACCATGACCTGTGCCTGTATGCCCCATACTTTTCCTCAAGCAATTTAGACTACAGGTTTTATGTTAACATCTATGATCCCTTTGCTGTTGAGTTTTGTGCAAAGATTAGAGATAGAAATCCAGCATCATTACTCTGTGTATTGATGGATGTCCAGGTTTCCTAGTATAACTTGTAGAAGATGCTACCCTTCAGTTATGTTTTTGGTATCCTTGTGAAAGCAATGAGATGGCTATACACTTACGTCTGGCTCCCATATTCTATTCAATTAGCCTGTGTCTGTTTTGTGCCTTTGAACGCTGCTAAGACTACTATGGTTCTGTAATAGAACTTAAAACTTGGTGTGGTGATACTTCCAACCATGTTCTTTTTATTCAAGAATTATTGGCTATCCATAGTCTTTTTTACTTCATGAAAATTTTGTGATTGCTTTTTTTCTATATATGGAGGAAACATCCTGTAATTTCTTTATTGTACATTGAATTTGTAGATTGTTTTCAGATTATGTATTTCATTCTTGACTTCTTGAATCATGTTTTGATTCAACAGCATGTTGTTTAATCTTATGAGATTATATATGTTCCATTGTTTCTCTTGTTTTTTTTTATTTAATACCATTGCAATCAAATAAACAGAATGATTTCTTTTTCATTGAACCTCTAGTTCTTAAATTTCACTTTTTGTCCTAATACACACTACTTTATAGAAAATGTCAGGGGCTGCTGAGAAGAATGTATATTCTGAAATGTTTGAATGAAATGTTGTGTAGGAGGATTGTGGGTTTGATGAGGAATCCTGAACATTCTCCCTTTAGGTGAAGGAGGTCCTAACATATAGTGGGAAATTAATTAATCCTTACTTATATGACATCTCTGTAAGGGCAACTCACCTGTTTCAGGCCATAATGTAGACAGAGAGATATGTTAAAAATGTCCAAATCGGTGGTCAAAGGCTGCCATCAAGACTCCTAATGTCCTCAACTATCTGACTGCCCAATAAGTAGGATCTAAGATCTCCAAACCTCTAACTGGAGGTTTGGTCTTCATCACGGCTTCCTCAGAGTCTGTAACCTTTATCTGTATAGGAGGAAATTTATTTCTTTATTTCTTTAATTCTTTATTTATTGATTGATTATTTTGTGTACATAGGTCATTTGCCTGCAGGTATGTCTGTGCTCTGTGTGTAGAGCTTGTCACTTATTTCATTTTTTTACAAAGTGTAGGTATGGATCCATAGTGCTATACTTGTAATGGACATGGCTTCCTTGTATGATCAAACTTGGTGGCCATTGAGGACATGGTGGTGGTCATTATCCAGTACCATGTGGGTTTCCTGGGTTACTCTGGGTGAGCCCTGTGCTGGGCAGGGAACAGGGGCTTCAGATGAAATGGGATATCTCAGTGATTTCTGTCCCTGCCACTTCTCAGTACTGGAAACAAGTGCACCAAATGCAACTGGGGCTACCTGGACCAAATGGCCATCCTACGCTGGGTCCAGCAGAATATTACCCACTTTAGAGGCAACCCTGACTGGGTCACTATTTTTGATTGATCAGCTGGTGGTACAAGTGTGTCTTTACTTGTGTCTCCTGTGTCCTGAGGAGTCTTCCATGGTGCCATTATACAGAGTGGAATGGCCAGAATGCCTGGCCTCATCTCCCATTATGCTGAGGTGATTTACAATTCTCTCAAGCTCACCCTCCTATCTCACACTTAGAGCTCCTGGTTCTTTCTGCTCTGTAAAGACAATAGAAATCATAGAGGTACATGGGAATTCCCTTCTTCCTTCTTTCTTGCTGAAGACTTCAAGGGACAGAATCCATACTCCTCTGCCTCAAATAAGCTGAGTACTTACTCTGTCTCTGGGTTGGAACTTTGGCTAGTGGTAGAACACTCGCTTCATATGCATAGGGCCATGTGTTTGATCTCTAGTGGTGACAAAGTGGTCTTATTTCAAGGGGATGTCTCAGAGCTCTAGGTTCAGGGAGAGCCATGGAGTCCAGGTCCCCATATATGTCTCTATTTCTTCTCTCATCTCAGGCTTCTAAGGGCTTTTAGTTTAGGAAATCCATATTTCTAGTGTAAGAGTGTGATACAGATGAGGAAAGAGAGGAAATTATGCTCTAGGTATTCCTCAAACTACTCAGGTAGGTGGGGAGGACAGGGTCATGGTTTAACCAAGGCCCTTTCAAAGGCTCATGCCTCAGTCTTAGAATACACACACACACACACACATACACACACACACACCTCTAGCCATGTGATTCCAGACAATCTTAGGCCAAGATATCACAAAAGATGAGTCATGATGGGGCCAGGTAAGGACCTATATTTCCATACCTCCAGGTTCCTCCCTGTTTACTTCTGTTGGTTCCAGCACAGACGTAACATCTTCAGACATGTCAGGCTACCACACCACATGGACGTAGACCCTGGCAAGGATATTTGCTTTGTCTATGGATCTTACTTTTGTAGCAGCATATATGAGTCTTCCTTTTACACCCCCTTTCCATGAGCAGGATGGGGACCCAGATGAGCACTTGAGGAATGCCTGAGCTCACTGTCCAACTGAGGAAACAGAGGCTCTGATAGCTCAAGATGATGTGCTAGGATTAGATCTGAGCCCTTCCTAGTGCATGCTGGGCTTTCTGCCCTTATCTCCAGCCTGATGATGATCTTAGCCCCCCCCCCATTCAGCTGCCACATGCACAATCCCAGTTGTAGCCTAACTCCAGCACACAGGTTCCCCACCTGTCAAGATCCACTGTCCTCCCCATCCACCCCTTATTTGCCACCAGTAATGCCCAGGAAATGTTCATCAAGTAGAACCTGGGCAGATTACTCAGAGAGTAAGGACTGCCAACTCTGAAAAGTAACCTGAGTTTATTATCCAGGACCCACATGGTAAAAGGAGACAACTGACTCCCTCAAGTGTCCCTTTACTTCTATGTAAGTGCCATGACAAATGAATGCCCATAGAAGCATGTGCATGTGCACACGTATGCACATAAGTGAATTTGAATCATTAAACAATATTTCAAAAGTAGACAGATGACTGAAGTTTTCTTATAAGGATTTGACCATTAGAGAAGCCATGGTATAGAAGTGGATAGAGTGGATAGAAAAGGAAATGAAGACTTTTATGCAGAATTGCAGTGTTTCAGTAAAGCTATCGTGACCTAACACTGAGTCCTGACAGTGTACAGGAGCCTTGAGGGAGGGAGGGAGGAAAGAAGGAAGGAAAGAGGAGCCTAGCCCAGTGGAGGGTTAAAGAAGATGGGGGTACTTTGGGGTTCTCAAATCCACACTGTTATGAGAACTTTTATTCACTCTTTGAAAGTTTTTCCAGAATTATAATGAATAACACACAGATTGGTTTTCATACATGTCTGAAAGAGCAAATGTCTAATTTAGAAATGCTTATGTTCTTGTTCAAAAAAATAATTTACATAAAAGGACTTTGTAACTTAAGTATTACCCCATCTGCTTTCAAGCTCACACACCTTTCCTTACACAGGAGGCTACAGCTCTGCATGTTTGTCCTGAGAACTCTTTAGCTCCTGGATCTTCTGGGGCAGAGTCTTGGTCCAGAACTGCAGCCTTCTGGCCTTCAGGGCTCGGCCCACAGCAGGCTGGGTGTTCAGCTGCAGATACTGCTCATCTTGGTCCAACACAGGCCAGTAGGGTAGACCCTCACTGTTGGGGTTCCTGTGGATATGGCAGCCAGCAAGGAAGAGTGAAGGTCTCTCACCCAAAGCCTGATGCTCATATTTGTTGAAAGAAGTGGATAAGCAGACCAAGGGCCTCGGAGGACATATGGTCTAGTGTACTGATATAGATGAAAGTGTCACCTCCAGTGTCTACTGCATTTACAGAAAGGGCAGATGGCTAGTTTTGTGTTTTCCTCTCAGAGATATAATCTAAAGAAAAGTATCGCAATGGTGTGACTCACCCACCAAGTCTCTGGAATTAACATTAAATGACAGCTAGAAGGTGTCTGCCTTAGTGTGCCCAGGGCTGAAGACTATCATGTAATACAGGATCCATGTACACTAAAGGGGGCACATTAGACCTGACTTTAACAAGGTTGAGAATGGGAAGTATCCTCACCCATTTCTTGCAAAGTTGGTCCAGTACTTCATCATCCTCCTTTTTAACAGCTCTTCCTCATTAGTTAGTTCAACTGCAGACAGAAGGAGGACCAAGTGCTAGCCTCCTCATGCAGGTACCGACTCATGCTCTCCTACAGAGACTACAGCCCGAGGGAAAAACCTAGGCCTGGTTTTTACCCTCTTCCCTCCCACTTAGAATACAGGATTGATCAAAAGCCCTACTTGATGTTTCTCAGGTTCATTTCTACAATAGTTTGCTCTCATTCTTTTTAGTGCAAACCAAACTAGGAAGGGTTATTATTTTAACTCTAGGATATTTTAGGGGGAGGAGCATGGGTTGTTTTTTTTTTGTATAGCTCAGAAATGGGGAACACTTCTCCTGTTCCCTCCCAGACTCTCAAATTCCCAATTGGACAGAGAGCTCAATAATCCCTCAGGAATTCATTTGATGCTCCATTTAGCTCTAGGAAAACATGAAAGACTCACAATTCATGCCACCGAAAAAGGAGCCAAAAACAAATGGATGATCATCACCATGTTCTGCCTTCACATGAGATGGCCTGGCATGCTTGATGAAGCTGGGCAGATGCTGGAACTCATAGAAGTACACAGGAGCGTGGGAACCTGGCAGCGAGAACACATGTTGACATGATTTCTCATATGGAATTTATCTCCCTTATTTTTGGTGACAAGAAACCTTGCTCTACTGTTATCTGGAATCACAGTTGAGTGGTGAGATCCAGACTGGAGCACTGGACACAGGAAACCTTTGTTAAATAGAGACCCTGACATTCCCAGCTGAGGAGATGGTAAGACACTGAGGGTAAATAACATGTTTCCTCTTCTAGCCCTGGATAGGATGCCAGCCTTTACAATAGACATGAAGATTTAGTGGAGGAAAGCTGCCTGCCATAAGAGAACTAACCAAGCCATAGGCCTGGATTGGACATTGGAGAGTTTGCCTGGGTCCCAAAGATTGGAGCACCCCCTGTCCTTTCTCTTGTTCCAGATGTACTCACGATGGAAATGTGCCACTTGGAGAGCAGGGATCACAAACATGAAGTCCCCCAGCATGTCTCTGAACTGTGCTTGGAGCATCTCTGGGTCTTCAGTGTTCCCCATGTACTCTTCCATTAACAGTTCACTATATTCCAAAGGCAGCATCTATACCACAAAGAATCAGAAAGAATGATGACAGGCAGGCAGCAGCCTCTAAGTAAGGAATGTGGCCAAAAATAAAACGGGGTGTATGGGAAAAAGTAGAAGCTTTTCATTGATTTCCCACAGAAATACACACACACACACACACACACACACACACACACACACACTTTATTTCTGGGCATGTCATCTAGGTAAAATATACAGGAACCTTCTCTATCATGACAGGAGCCAAGGTCTCTCTCACCATCTTTGCTGCTGTGCTCTTCAGAACATCTGGCAGGGTATCTCTGTTTATCTTCTCTATGATACGGTCAAGGCCCATGTACTGGGAGGCAGAGGATAGTCTTAAGTATTGGATGGTTTAGAATTGCATTAAGGTATCTCTTATGTCACAATACCCACCATTTGAGTTTATGTTCTCAGGGGCTTAGAACTCCACCTCACCTTGGGGATTTGACAGCCACATTCATCTGATGTGATACCAATGATGCTGGGGACAGGATGAAAATCCTTAGAGGACAACAGCTCCAGAGGATGCTTGGGTAAGAACTTCCCATCCACTACTCCAGGGATCATCTTGAAGACCTACACAGTATTGATGGTCAGTGCTGAAGATCAATTATATAAATATTCTAATGCCCATGAATATCCACAGCAATTCCCTATATCCTATGTCATCCCCGGGTTCTATGCACACTCTAGGAGAAACTTGACATTATAAATAGTTCGTCTTGTTCTTTTTGCACACTGTACTGAAAGGACACCAAACCATGGAGATGAGTTAGCACATTTGAGTAGTAAGTAATGGTAATCTGACATTCTGTTCATAAGGTCCTCCAAGACACACAATTCTCCCAACCTGGTTAATAGCCAGGATCTCTTGTTTACTCTTGGCTCGCAGGCAGTGTATCAGGGCTTCTGAGTCTGGGGCCTCACATCCAGATAGGTTGGCTACTGTCTGTAAATGGAACAGGTAATGGTTAGCTCATCTTTCCTAGCAGGGAGCATAGTTTCTGTGATTCTACTAGAAGTTATTACCCCAAATACCACATCCTAGTGTTTGTTGTGTATGAACGGAGGAAGCAGAAGTTTTCACATTTTCTGTTGCTCAGAGGTGACAGCTGGGAAAGAACATTCAACCTGCAGATTGTTCTGTTGTTACTTTGGTGTCTGTCTGTGTGTGTGTGTGTGTGTGTGTGTGTGTGTGTGTGTGTGTATGTTGTTCATGGGTGACAATAGTTATGGTGTAGCACATTTTGCCCATGGTGGTCAGAGCACAGTCTCAGCTGTAACATGTCATGATATCCCTTGTTTGCATTTGTCTACACCAGCTTAGCTGGCCCTCTGACCTTCCCTGGAGTCTTCTGTCTTTGTTTTCTATACTTTCATAGGAACACTCAGGTCACTTATTGCCTCCATCAGCTTTGTATTGGTTCAGAGGATTTAAACTCGGATCCTCACACCTGCACAGCAAATATTTTTACCAGTTGGCTCTTTCCCTCAATTCATGTGTTCTTGTTAGATTTCTTTTTCTCAACTCAACACAATCCATGATCATCTGGAAAGAGGAATTTCAGCTGAAAAAAATAGCCTCTGTCAGATTGGTCCATAGGCAAACCTGTGCATTTTCCTGAGAAATGACTAATGCAGAAGAGCCCACTTCACTGTGGGCAGTGCCACCCATGGACAGGTGTTCTGGGTTGTATAAGAGGGAAACTGATGAAGCCACGGGTAACAAGCCAGTAAGCATGTTGCTCCTTTGCCTCTGACTAAGTTCTGGCCTCCAGGTACATGCCTGAGTGCATACTTTCCTCAAGATAGTTCATAAGATCTCAGCTGCAATAAACCTTTTCCTCCCAAAGGAGCTTTTGGTAATCATCCTTATCACAATGATAAGAAACCAACAGGGAAACCAAGCATAAGTGTTTTTGCTAATGACAGAAGCCACTGGATAAAGGTTTGCTATCATATAACATGCTCAGAATACATAAAATTCACTTAACCGAACAGCAAATCTCAAGAGGCAATGACGGTGGTAGCATTCTAGTGGCTGGTGTTCTTGAGGGCACATACCTTATAGATCCCCTCAGAAGTGTCAGAGATGATGTTCGGCAGCAGGGCCACTCCACTCTGCATAATGGCTCCATGAAAGAGTCCTTGGGACATTGGAGACACAACATGGGAAGACACACTTGTGCCTCCTGCTGATCCACCAAATATAGTGACCCTGTCATGGTTGCCTCCAAAGTAAATGATATTTTTCTGCACCCAGCGTAGAGCAGACACTTGGTCCAGGTATCCCCAGTTGCCTCTGGCATGCTTGTCTCCAGTGCTGAGAAGTAGCAGGAAGAAGAATTGTAAGGCTGCCCATGTACTACTTAGTCTCCATTACCCAGCCCAGTGCCAGGCTTACCTGAAGAAGCCAAGGATACCCAAGCGATACTGGATGGAGACAACTACTATTTCCTCAGTAGCTGCCAGTGTGGATCCATCATTCATGGAAGCCCACCCTCCAACCAGTCCACCACCATGGATCCATACCATCACCTGGAGACAGACACTCAGATGCCAGGAGGCCCATAGACATGTCAAGCTGTTCTAGACTGCCCACTAAGTTATCAACTGCTATGTTCTGTGCAGGTCGACCTATAAACAGATCTCTTCAGGATCTCAGGAAGTTAGCCACAGAAGAGGTGCTTTAGGCCTGTGAGCATGTTTCCATTCCTGCTTCCCCAACAGAAAATCTCAGCATGGATTAGACTCCAGATCTAAATTAAAGTCATTGTTATTCTCACACCCATCTAAATACAGCAAAAAAATGGAGTGTCTTCCTAAGTGACTTTCCTGATTGCTACTAAGAATTGGCTTCAGATTCCACTGGCCTAACACATAACTTGGTGCTAGAAATTTGGGTGATGTCAATATTCAGCCATTGTGCACTGTCCTGAGTTAGTGTGCCAAATTGATAGCATTCCTGGTTTAATCTAATACCTACACCCTCATACCTCCCAGAGCCCCAGGACTGTGAGTCACAAAAACACACACAGATACATACACACACACACACACACACACACACACACACACACACACACACACACTTAGGCAGCTGACCATGGGCTGATATAACTTTCTTCAACTCTGTAAGGTAAGACTACTAATCAGGATCTAAACTACAGTGGAGCTCAGAATTATTTTGTTCCTTCCCATCCACCAAAGGAATTAATGATCTGTTCCCAGTGGCCATAGCTTGACACTCACAGGCAGGTTAGAGCCCTCATGGGCATGGGCTGGTGTGTAGATGTTGAGATACAGGCAGTCCTCAGAAATAGGGATGAGAGGTATGTTCAGCTTCATCTCCTTCACAATCTCTGAATTCATCATATCAGTCTGCAGACACCTAGTGAAAATGGAAGACAGGAATTCCAAGGTATGTGGTGGTCAAATCAATATCTTAGTCTGAATTTTCTCTTAGGCACCCACAGCTACTTCTTTCCAAGATGGCTTGCTAACATGATTTTTCTCTAAAGTCCCTACCACAGTAGAGGCCACCAGTCCTGTGCAAATGGAAACAGAAACAAATTGTTTCATGGAGGTTGTGCCATACATAGTTATATTCTGGGGGGCTACTTTATGGAGACTTCTGATAGCTTCACTGAAAATTATGCGCTGTCTGTTCCAACATTTGATCCTTCTGTATATAAAATCTAAATTCTGGTGTGGTGGTTAGATTTAATTGTTGTCTTGACACACTGTAGAATCACCTGGGAAAAGAATCTTACTAAGAGATTGTCTTGATCTGGTTGGGAGATCAACATGCCAATGGAAAGTTATCTTGATAATGTTCTTTGCAATAGGAATACCTGCCTATGGGAGGAGGCACCATTCCCTAGGAAGGGGCTGCTGGATTGTGTAAGAATGGAGAAGGTAAGTGAAGGTTAGTAGGCATTCCGGTGACTTTAATCTCTGTTCCTCATTATGGATGTGATGCAAACAGCTTTCTTAAATTTCTGCCTCTGTAATTTCCCACCTATGGTTGATTATATGCTTGAACTGCCAGCCATAATAAAATATGACTTCAGTAATTTGCTATCTAAGGATATGTTATCATAGCAACAGAAATAAAACAAAGATATTGGGTCATGGGTTACTGTGCCCACATAGCAACTATAGGAATGAATGAACAATAGCATTTTATGTGATATTGAGATACTCTTAAGTTCGCTTCCAAGTACCAACAAGGTACCACCTTGTTATACATAATCTCCAGTTAGAAGCATGTGTACTTTTCCTTAGTGAATGACTCAGGGACAATGACTGATTACAAGGACAGTGAAGAATGGGCACAGTCTCTGCTCCTTACTGCAGTACCTTCAACTAACTCCCTACAGGTGCGAAGCTCTGACCCAACAGGCTAGCACCATTTTTCTACTGTAATTATTTGCATATTTGTCAGAAACATGCATTGGAGATGCCCCTCAGCACAGGCAGAAAACTGCTATAGAGCTGAGGTGGAAGAAGCACTTCACTGTGGTCTAGATCACAGGCCTAAAGTCCTCTGGGTCCCAGAACTTACATGGCCGGCTCTGAGGTTGCATCTCTTACACCACTCCATGGCTCAGGATCCTCAGGAGGTGCAAAGCGCAGTGGTCCTACAGGAGGCTTAGCAAAGGGAATTCCAAGGAAGGTGTGGACACCAGATTTAGTGTCCTTCACATGGACAAAGCTGCCTCTCACCTGGCCCGTGTGCGTGTTCCTGATGGGCCTGGCTGAGTCCTGGCCTGTAAGCAGAGAGATGTCATCAGCTGTCACCACATTTGGGAAGTTCTACCTTGTCATCACCATGAAACATGGGGGAGGTAAGTTGGGTTGTCTCAGTTCTGCAGTAGGATATGGAAATGAGAGCTTCTGGATCATCTAGGGACAGATACCTTGTCCAATGACCTTCTTGCAAACTGACAGGACCTTTCTATATTCAACAAAGTGACAGGCTCAGTGCCACTAAGCATTATGAAGGAATTATTGTCATTATCCAGGTTTGGTAGCATTTCTAGGTACAACCACAAACAGAGGAGGAACCTGTCCTGCTTGTTCTTCTGTCTCTGTTGCCTCCTAAGCATGTGCTAACCTCAGACATCTCTCACCCTTGTGTGCCTTTGTGGGACATTAGGAAGCACACATTCCTCATGCTGTTGTCTATCATTCGCCACCAGCTCCTTTTCCTTCCCCGTTGCCTTCCATCCCACAAGTTCAGCCTCTGATTCTACAGAACTGGGGCAGTTCTGACCCACGTCCCTTCTACTCACTAAGATAGTCTCACCATGTACTGTCTGGAGGAGAAGAAGGAGCCCATAGGCTACAACATACAGCCAATCAGGAAGGTTAGCAAATGGCATGGTTGAATCTCAGGCTTAAACCTGTGCTTCTCCAAGATGAGAGTCTCACAGCAGGAAACAGAACAGATCTGCCTGGCTCAGGCAGGAATTTGTACCTCTATGGTTGTAGGTGTGGACATTTGATTGGATGGTGCAAAGTTCTTATTGAAGAAGAACTGATAAGGCAGAAGCCACAGGAAGCCAATAGCCAGCAGGCAGGGCAAAGCCACTTCTGCAGTTTCTGCTCCTTTTCTGGCCTTCTGGAAAGAAACAGCATGGCATCTCAAGTCCTTCTGGAATGCCAGGATCTCTGAAATGCCATGGAAACCTCACAGTGATGTGTGCAGTGGGAGTTGAATGTTGCATTCAGGCCTAGTGGAAGTACCAGGCATAAGCCCTCCAGCAGGCAAGCAGAGTTCTTCCCTCTGTGAACCCAACTGAAGCCTGCTGTTAACACACACACACACACACACACACACACACACACACACACCTCTGTCTCTCTCTCTGTCTCTCTCTCTGTCTCTCTCTCTCTGTCTCTCTGTCTCCCTCTCTGTCTCTCTCTGTCTGTCTCTGTCTCTCTCTCTGTCTCTCTGTCTCTCTCTCTGTCTCTCTCTCTCTCTCTCTCTCTCTCTCTCTCTCTCTCTCTCTCTCTCTCTCTC